TTGCAATGTGATTCTTAGGGGTATTTAGATGACTTCTACCGGAAGAATAAATTAACAACTCCTAAAATAGGCACTAGTAATAAAGAAACAATAAAGAAAATAAACAGTCATCTTAACAATAGCAGTAATCTGGATGGATACCTAATGGGAAAAATGTTCTTCCTCCAGTCCGACTTACAGGGAGGCTTAAAGTAAAATCAACAGCCAAGAAAAGGCTGTTATCTCCATAATTTTTACTTTAGCTTTGTTTCAGCAAAATTGGTTTTGCTTGGCTTAAGAGGAGCCAGCCAACTGAAACTAAGAGACAACGTGTCTTTTTTTGCAGCCCTGAAGATTTTCTTTTCTCTCATCCAATTTTCATCCTGATTCAGACCAGCCCAGGTTATTTAAACCAAATGTGGTTTCAAACCATTGGCCTCTTGGAGCACAGTGTACATAATGGACTGTAATCCAGAGAGCCCTACTGTCAGCCTGGAGATGCGGGGTACTGGGTGTGCATCCTCGGGGCTTCTCACAAGGACCTATCTGGGCTGGCAGTCCAGAACATCATCAGGGTGGCAGCTGTGCTGTTAGCACCCAAAGGCAGCTATGTGTAAGTAAAATGTTTCCATTATAAAGGTTTTGTGGTACAACAGGAGTTAAGTGTAGGTGATTCTGCAAACACAGCAGGCTCCCGAGAAGGACAGTTGTGGTGGCTGGATGGGGTAAGCTGCCTTCTCCATGTTGTGATGGCCTGTGGTGGCTACTTTGACCTCTCGGCTAAAGCAGAATCACAGGATTTAGAACTGGAAGGCACTCAGAGATCATTTACTGTGACTGTCTCACTTTATAAAGGAAGAATTCATCAAAAAGGTGAATGCTTTTCTCAAGGTCATAAGCTGACTGATGACAGAGCTGGAAGCTGAATGCAGGCATCCAGGTCTAGGGTTTTATCCAGGGCGTCACATTGGGCATGAGTGCCACTGAACAGGCCATGCAAGGGGGGAAATCTGGGAAAACACAAAATAATGAGCACGGCCTCCCCTTCCCCAGGGGACCATCTTCTATGGTACTGGCCCCTTATTTCCCTCCTACATTTTGTAACCTCTCGTTTTTAATGCTATAAATCTGCTTTGATCACTTTTGCCATTAGAATATAATATGAGGACGAAGAGCACAGAAAGAACCAGATTTCTAGCATTTTTTCCAGCCACATATGTATTCTTATTTCCTCATTTGGTTTTCTGGGAAAGTAAATTTGGCAATAAGTAATGATTGCCAACTTTAGTCACAAAGGTAATAAAGAAAGCCTTTTATAGAAATGAGACCAGTGAGCTCTGGCCTTACCATTTCATCAATTTTATTTTTATTTCCTGGACCTTAGCTTCCTTCTCACCCCTGGATTCAGAGTTGTCATCATAGGCAAAAAAAAAGCAAGACCCAGTGGATGCACAGTTAAAACCACAAGGAGGAGGAAGCAGGCAAGGCAACCAGTGTGTACCCCCTGCCGCCCCCCATCCCCCACCACAATCTTCGGCAGAACAAACATCTCCACCCTTGTTTTACAGACAAGAAACTCACACCAGAAGAAAGGCAGTGTCTTCCCAGGTCCCATGGCTGGTGATCAGTAGACTAACTCAGACCCAGATCTTCTGATTCCCAATCTATCACTACTTCTATTATTCCATAGGTAGCACAATCACCAATGGCTCTTTCCAATTCTTCTAGAAAGATGTCCCAAGTAAAACTTACTTTTCCATAGCAACAGCTATATCTTGAAAGCCTTGCGCCGTAATGTTGTTCTTGTCCCATATAACAGTCCTGTTCAAAAACCAAATCACATAAATGATCAGACACTTAAGAATGGAGGAAATCATTCTCCCGTTACACATAAATCTCTTACAGGCAACAGTGTCTAGATATATTAGTACAATGAGCAACGGATAATGTTCAGCTTTGTTTCAAACAAGGGAAAAATGAGCATTCCACCCAACATTATATTCCAAACCCATTTACTGCTCAAGTAGGATGAAAATACACACTTCAAAGCAAAAGTGCACACATTAAGTTACCATTAAGTTACCAAATGCTTTACTAGCCAGAGAGCTCTAAAACCTGACTTCCCTGATATTCTCATAACATACTCTCCAAAGAGCATTCTAGCATTCATGTCTCAGGCTGAAGCTATTTATAAAAGATGCTAAACAGTCTCATGTCCAACATAAAGAATTTCAGGTACTGAGACTTTTCTCCATTCGAAACATCTAGAAGTAACCTGGTATTTTCTTTTGTTTCATCACTGCCTGACGTGGGTGACCAGCCAGCCCAACCACTTTGTTCACTCTGCCGGCAAAACCTCAGTTACTATAAGGAGGTTGTTGATGTTTTAAACACCAAATCTATTTTGGAAGAAAAGTATTACTTTACTTTCAGAACGGGAACACTTCAGAAGTATTTTTGGACACATCAATTCACCTGACACGTGAAATGGCTTTTATTTGTCTGAATGCTCCCAGACTCCTGACCTCTGACTGCTTTCCCTTCCTAACCTCAAAGAACTTCTTTACGTACATATTGGCAATTTCAAAGAAATTGCTCCAGGTTTTGGCTTTTGCCTTCACTTTAGACAGAAGGTTCAGGCTCTGCCTTACACTGGAGAGCCAGGGAAACAACAAGGGCCTTGGAGGAGGAATGTGAATTAACTCTTCCTTCACCAGACTGCTGGACTAGGGAGCAACCAGACCTCTCTGAATGATGGATGGTAACATGGTTACCAAGTAACTAGTCCCTTAGAGAAGCAGCTACCACACAGCTCATCCTTAAGGAAAGCCATGCTTGGGAAGCACTATGGATGAAAACCACTAACCAGAACAGTCAGCATCCAGTATGAACCTGCCTTTGACCCAAAGGACTTCCTGGATCCCTTGGGCTTTAAGTCTTTATACTGACAGGAGTGGGAAGGGAAGATAAGACACTGGGCTCGCAATCAAGTACAGGGAAGCCCCTTGTGTTATTCCTCCAGTCTTCCCAGCTCTGCTCATTTGGCACTGCCAACAAACCCGTCCTCTGCTTCTCACTGCCTCCCTTGAACACTGGTGGGTGGTCATCACTGCTGTAAAATGAGAAACCTCAATGGTTCTCAAGTGGACCTCACAGTGGGAATCTTTAAGACAGCAGTTTGAAGGAATGATGTGTCTAAATTTGGCAATACCCTCCCCTCCTTTTTTGATAGAAGACTTGAAACTGACGCCTCCCCTCCCCAGCTGGCCACCTGGGAAACTCAGCCTCACTCTGGCACAGCTGGCTCCCCGAGGCTTGCTGGTCAGCCTCTGCCTCACCAGCCTACCTGAGCTTGGTGTTGATCTGCAGTGCCTTGGCCAGCATCTTTGCTCCCATGTCCCCCATTCCATTCCCACTGATGTCCACTTTGGTCAGGGAGGTGTTGCTTCCCAGGGCGTTGATGATGATGGTGACCTCAGTCTTGAGTTTGAGTCAGCCAGGGACAGGGACTGCAGAGGCTGCAGAGGGAACACCAGGCAGCACTCACACAGCCTCATCAGAGCTGCCACCACTCCCGCTGACCCGCGCCATGGAGAATCATTAGGGGAGGTACCCACTGCACAAACACAAAGGGTCTCATTTTGAAACTTCGGGCTAAAAGACATTGATGAATGGGGCCTGAAGGTTCTGGCATAAAATGGACTTTTGGAGTCAAACAAGAAGAGCCTGTGTTTTAATGCTGAATACCAGCCACCTCTCTCCTAAGGGAAGCTGTAGAAAGATACGTAGTGTGGGAAATGCAGCTCTTTTGAAGCAGAGGATGGGAAGAAAGAAAGAAAAATACTACACAAAAATGTCTGTGCTTCAGTTTAGGTACACGATCCCTTTTCACCCATTTTATTTCTATGTAAGGTAACGTGACGTCTTAAAATCCTAGTAGAGGATAAATGCAAAATAAAAACCAGCCAAGATCAATAATAGCTGACATTCATTGAACACTACTAGGATTAACCACTATTTAAGCTTTTTACTCAGTTAATCCTCCCAGTAACCCAATACTTAGGTATTAGCATATGAGTCACTATTACCCTTGTTTCTGAAATGAGAAATAGAAAGGTTAAGTCACTCAACCAAGGTCACACAGAAAAGTAGCTAAACAGGAACCAGTCTGGTTGCCGATTTTGTGTGTTTAATTCCTACACAATATTGCCCCTATTAGCTTATCCTACATCTTTTTGATCTTCACTTAACTTTGCCTTATAAGAACCAATCAGAAGACCTACTTAAAATTTAAAAAAAAAAAAGTCAAATGTATGTGACCTTTTCATTACCATATGCTGTATGGTGAATCCAAGCCAACCCACTCACTGCCCATTTAGGCTGGAGACTGAAAGCCACTCAGCCTGGAGGCAGGTTTTGTTTGGCCTGCGTAGTATGTGACCCTCCCTCACTCACCCCAAAAATATAGGGCTCCCCCCTTACACCCAGCTCACATCTACTTGTTCCTGTCACTTTCCCAGCCTTGGGGGTATTTCAGTTTGTAATCCATGATTTCAGCCATCACTGAACTGATGAGGTGGTGAGAATTCCAGGACTTGAACCAACGTTGCTGTAAAAGTCAGAACTAAGACTTCCCTGGGCGTTTTGGATGTCTTCCGGGTTGCGTGAGGCGCCCTCTATTGGCCCAGCCATGCTAAACCACTCTATATGCGTATTCCATAAGCAGTTCTGACTATACAGGGAAGTGGATGCTGGAAGCAGTTTGTAGAGTCATCTATGACAGGGTTCCACGGTGGCCCGGGGGACTGGGGTCCTTGGAATGTGCCGGGTGGTCTGTCTGACCCACACACAAATCCTGGGCTGGATCCGTGTCCACTCAACCACTGAATGTTGACTTCCAACAGAACCCCTGCTCAAGGCACATCTGCCAAAAGGCTCAGGAGGTGGGAAGAGGGTGTTGCTGGTTTAAAGATTCAGATATCCACAAAGTGGCATTATGCATTTGGTTATAATTTTCCCAAGCGACTATACTTACTGTCCTTATTGTCCAAATTTGACCATGTTTTCTAAACTTAACACATCTATGGTAAATCAAAAGGTAATAGTATAGTAATTAGTATCAAAAATGTTTAAGTTAAATTGCATATTAAGAGGTAGGGCAATTGAGAACTCAGCCCAGAAGCCTGCACATGCTTAGACTCAGGCAGGTTTAGGGAGATGACTTCAATTTTCTTAAGATTCTACATTCAAGTAAATGGAAAAAAAACTTAACTAAAAATGCTTCAGATTCGGGAAACTCAATGTTTTAAATGAAAACATATGCACTGTTGCTTTAATAAAAAGCTGTAATTGCATCTCCCATCATTTCAGTAAGCTCTATTCAGCTACTACAAAAATGATATATTACGGTTTCTTCCTAATACTGGAAAACTGCCAAGTCTCCAAGCTGGTGAGCACCAATTCCAGTGCTATATTCAAACTCTAATACACCCCAGTTAACACTTAAAAATAATAGGCAGAGTCATTAACGCGAACAGAACAGCCTGAGTTGCATGCATATTTATAAGGTCATCCCTTCGTGATTTACTGCCCTTCCAGGTAACATACCTATTTCAAATCTTACTATTTCTGTTCGTAGCTGAACATGCTTAATCTGACAAGCTGTCTCCTTGCTACAGACACTCCCAGGACAACCACATTCTGTTCTACTGGTCAGAGCATGGGTTTGTATATAATACTTCAAAACAAGAATGCCTGCCATCTTGGCCCCTCAGTGTTACCATCCCTTGATTCTGGGGGCAGCTGCCTGACAACCACTGTTTAGAGTTGAAGGCAACACTGGAGCCTGTGCATCTAGGTTTTCCAACTGAACCTAACGTGCACTACCAGGCAAATGAAGTATTCCACGGGCTGTCTAAAAACAAGCTCTACAAACACAAGGTCAGAATGTAAAAAGCAAAAAAACCTTTAAAAAAAAAAGAGCCCCATGGTGCCAGTTATTGGTGGAATTTTTATAGTGACGAGACTCAACTCCTAATCATTTTAAATTGTTTTGCACATTCCTGATTCAGAAATAGGGGGAAAAAATAGAAGGTAATTGCTTTTTGAAAAAGCCACCTACTTTTCTATGACATGAACATAAAAGGGTATTCACCGTACGTTATTAGTGGCACACTTCCAAATTTATAACTTGACAGAATTCACATTTACACAGCAAACTTCACCACCTGCAAATATGTTTTTAGGTGTGTTTAAAATATGAAGATTATCTTTAAGTAGGACACTTTGAAAATTACAGAAACAGAGTTTGAAGACCACTGTGTAATAATAAGCAAAACATGAAATTAAGAAATATTTTTTCATAAAATATAAATTTTCCTAAAATATGTGCTCAGAATCAAGTATTTGAGGATGGCTATTAAATAGGATTTGACAATATTGGCCTCCCCAGTCTTTTCAAACTGGACAGATACTGGGAAAATCAAAATCTCTAATAAAGCAGGATGGTGTAAAATCAAATTAAATATGTAACACAAACCGCATAAATTCTAAAACGTGTAAACTGTATTCTAATTATGCCTCTAACTTTAATAACCCAGTATAAAAGTAACAAAATATGGGGTTTATTAGCAAGTGAAGACAAAGAGAGGTGCTTGGATTCATTAAATAATAATGAGTTTCATTTCTAGCCCACAGGTTTGAAATTATATCTACACAATGAAGAGGCAGGACAACAGAATTTTCTCCTGCCCCCCTCCAGATCAGAGCCCCAGAAAGCAGTGTGGGCAAGAGCAAGCAAGGAAAAGTACCATCTCCATCTCTCCTGGACCCGTGGCTTTCCAGGAAAATTTAGTTTACCATTATAGTAGAATCTGCTATTATTACCTCATATGAATTCAAGAGGGAAAATGATTACCTTTTTAAAATGTGACGTTATCTCACATGAATAAATGTGACACATCTCACATAATTCAGAGTGATAGGAAATCACTCATGACCTACCAGAGTAGCTATCAGAAAACACGAATATGAATCTTCAGTATACAAACTGATTTGGATTTTAGGAACCATAAAAGCTCTTAAGTAGCCAAATAGGACTAAGATAGGAAAGGGATAGAATCTTACAAGGCATCAGTAAAGTTTAGGATTAACATATATATAAAACTGCATATAAAATAGATAAACAAGGACGTACTGTATAGCACAGGGAACTATACTCAATTTCTTGTAATAAGCTATAATGGAAAAGAATCTGAAAATACATGTGCATACATATATATATGTATATATGTATAACTGAATCACTTTGCTGTAACCTGAAACTAACATTGTGAATCAACTATACTTCAATAAAAAATAAAACTTAAAAAAAATCAGTAAGATGTAAGATGTGATACGCTAGGTTTCAATGAAAGGAATAAATGGTAGAGTGCTTCTTGCTTTGACTATAAAATGTCTTTTTTCTAATGCACTCCTAGGGGCAGCAAAATAGGATACTATTTGAAATTAAATTAAATGAACCAAGTCTTAGCCAGGAGCAACTAAAGTGAGGGGAAATGTAAGAAGGATTATTAGAGCTCTAGACACAATTTAAGATGAGGGACAACTTTCTGAGTCTCTTGTAATTCTGCATAATTACTAGACAAAATTCAAATTAGCAATATGCTGTTTCTCAGCATGATATAAGGTTATAAAGTCAACTAGGTAGTAAAAATTCATGCTTGCAGACTAGTGTATTAGCTGAAGCTAGAAGTAGTAAGGTTTATTAAAAGATGGGCTTAGGAGTCAATGCATACTTCTTTTCATCTATGAGTTACAATCTTTCTTTAATGAACTGAATGAAGTAAAGAGTAAGTAAATTTTAAATACATTCTACAACTGTACTAAGGCATAAATATTCACTGCATTTAAAAATAGTAACAATAATAGAAAATGTATGTGAGATAAAATTACCTAATAACCTTTAATGAAAAGAATATGAAAACAAATATATGTGTATATATATATGCATGACTGGGACATTATGCTGTACACCAGAAATTGACACCTTGTAATGGACTATACTTTAATTAAAAGTAAATAAATAAATAAGCCTATTAGCAACAATCTAGTAGACATAATTAGTAAGAAAGGCAACAAACAAAAGATTTCAGGGAAAAGTATTAAAACTGATACTCACTGATTCTTCATCTTGAATCATCTGCACTAAGTTGTCCAACACAGGTGTCAGATTTCTAAAGAGATTTTAAAGATGTGGACAGTGGAATCAAATCAAAAGCTTTCAGGAGGCTGGTTATTTTCATCATTGTCATATAAAGAAAAATTCAAAACTCTTACTTGGATTTCATATTATTAAAATTTTTGCCTAATGCCAGGTGTTGTATTGATCTGTTTTTACTGAGCCACACTATTAAGGTAGACAGGTCAGATTCTAAACCTGGAAACAATCAGAGTAAATGGAGAATCAAAACACATGTAGATAAACATATTCTCAGCTGGAACACAATTAAACAAAGGCACAATGCAGTTGGATGATCTTCCGTACTGTCCTGAGAGCCCTGGGATTCTAATCGTTTCTTTTCCAAAAGAACTTTTTGTTCTCTGTTCATGTCCTATTATTTCACAGGGAGAAACTCATTCTCTACAAAGACTTAACCAAATCTCTTATGCAATCAGTGGCTACATAAAGTCAGCAAGGAACAGCGATGCATAATAGCAAAAATTTTCATCTCTCCCCATCACTTTGTGAGAGAAGATGCCGACGTACTGTTCACTAGGAGGTAACTGCAGTTAAGGTTCCCTATCTAAATTTAACAGGTTCATACTCACGTGCTACTATCATCAGCAGAAATGAAGCTAGTGAAACATGCTTCTGAATAAATAAACAAGGCCTCAGTTTTATTACTAGCAAGAATGCAAAAGGCTGGACTCAGATCTTTATCAGTGTATTGGTGGTCTTATTTTTTTTAACTGAATTTGTTTTACTGCACAAACCTTGCATTTTTAGCCACGGACTCAACTTATTAAGACTCTGGCACAGAATTATTCCATAAATAAACTCTGTTAAGTTAAAAAGTCCTATTAGTCAAGAAGTGAAAAAAAATTTTATGAAGGTGTCATCTAGATGGGGTTAGAAGATTATTTTCCCTTTACTCACTTGATTGAAATAATATTTCTACTTTTTTTCTTCTCCAACTTCTGACTTACCATTATCGGAGATGTCTAGGCTGGTGATGTTGTGAATTTCGGCAATGCAGCCTTCTAATACTTGAGCACCTCCAGATCTCAGCTAGAGAAACACAAACCAAACACAGGGTAAAGTGGTCACCTATTGGAGGGATAACCGAAAAATTAAAAACAGAAAATACAGTCTTAGATTTAGTCCCAAAGAAAAAGTGAAAACTTATCAATTCCAAAAAAGCTATCATCAGTGGTAAAGAGCCAGTCACTAGTTATTATGTGGTTTCTCAAATCAGAGAAGACTGAGAATCATTGGAAAAAGAAACAGAAGATACTCCCATCACCCCACTCTCATCACCACTGGCAAGACAGTCTCTGTCAACCCACAAGAATATTCTTCACTTCTGACTTTTGGAAACCCAATGAATCCCTTTTATACATGAGAAACTGCTACTGTTTTCTTTGATTATTACAGATTTCTGGGTATAACTCTCCATCAAGTAACAGCAAAACAACCAAAAGAGACAATAAAGACTTCACTCTGAACATCAATCACTGCCAAGAAGGACCCATCCCTAACTGTTCTATAGCAATGGTGTGAGGTCTCACTATTATAAAGCAGGAGTAAACATCTGAAAGTGATTGCAAAATGATTTGTACAAACTCACTGAGCCACTGAAGAGAAAAATGTTAGGTTAATCTAAGCATTACTATCATGGCTGGCTCATAGCAAAACTAAGGACAAATAATTATTCTCATCTCATTACCCAGTTCATTCTAAAGAGAAAGGCAACCTATAAAACCCAATGCTTTTCATCTTTTCCCATAAAACCAAAAATTCCTACTATGTGTAAAACATTGTGCAAGATACCATTTCCCAAGCTGTGGCTCTTTGTTCAGTAAATTTCACTATATAATGACAGAAAAGAAATGATCATTTACTAGGAACCCAGTACATACCAAGGAATGCGGTACACTATTTACTTAAGAAAACTAACATTTCTATGAATTTCTATGCCAAATTTATAATACAAGGTGCTCCTTCCTACTTGTTCAGGTTTAGCTGTGAAAATTTCAAGAATTCTCATGTCATTATTTTAGATGCAATATTTCTATGGTACTCTGGACCAAAACCTGCCAATTTCTCTGGCAGCTTGTATGTTAAGCAGAGTTTTGCACAGATGTTAGGGATCGCTTAATTCAGGAGTATTTCAGCTCGGATGTTTAAATTCAGTCTTTTCAATTTTTTAAGGTGACAGCAGGTCACTGTGAGCTCTGAACACAGACAGTGAGACACAGAGGCAGACCTCCCCAGGAGGCTGGTCTACACTCTTCAGGGAAACCAAGACCAATCCACTGTACAGCCGAAGGGCTGCTAACCCTGTGTGTGGAGCCCTGGCCAAGAGGGAGCAAGTCCATTTCATGATACATTATTTTCTCGGGTGCTCTCCAGCTTACCCAAATGCCCCACTGAGCCCATCTTACGCCACCACCTCTAGATTGTCGTCAGCACACCCTACTACCCAAAGAGAGGACCACGGACTGGGGGCAGTCTGTCAAGTTTGTCACTGAATGTGATTAAGTAAGTATAGAAATTGACTATAAATATTTCAGAAACCTTAGTAAGAATAATTTTAGGCTGGGTGCCTCTAATAATAAAAATGGAGGGCTTGTATTTTTTATATCTTTTTAAATCTTTCTAGTAATTCATTTTTATTCCATTTTTGCCAAACTACTGGTTTATGATAGCTTGGAAATTAAAAAACTAATGACAACCAGGTTCCTCATGAATAGTTTTGAGAAACACTGCTCCAGGTTGTGAAGAAGTGAATGTGTATGTAGGGTCTATCAAAGTGAAAGCAAAAAATAATTTAGGCAAACACGTCAAAGAAACATGATTTTCAGAGCATGAAAAAAAATTATGCCTTTGAGGAGATAAAAGTTAAGTGCATAAGCCTTTACAATTTCATTATTTGCTGTCAGTGATGTCTCTGTTGAGAAGTCAAATTTCTACAAGAAAATCTCTACTTCTTCTTATAGTGTATGGTAAAATTATTCCACTTGTGAAAATGGAAAATAAAGGTGAGATTGCAGTGCTCGATTCTGTTTATTTTACAAATACTCCTGACTGACATTTGTAGCATAAACCCATAATACTAACATTTTCCAATACTAAAGAGTATCAATATTTCCTAATATAGTAATTCATGAAGTACTTACACAGTGGCCAAGCTAAGGAAAGCACAAGGAGAAAAAACAAAAAACGTTATCAGCAGCAAGCAGAGTAAGGACAGACGAGCGAAGTCTCACACCACCACATACCATGTAAAAAAAGCACTTCACCTAAAGTATATTCCCTACATAAAAATCAAAAACTTAAATAAGAAAACAGCTTATCTTTAGTTACCAAGAACATTCAATTGAATTCACAGGTTATTAGATGCCTAAAATTCCCCCAAAGTGAACGCTTTCCCAAAACAGTAAAAAGCTTTTCCATTACTGTAAATGAAAATCCTTCTAAATGAGTTTGCATAATTACAGGCTGTGTCTGTATGTATGCATGTAAAACTTGTTTTCAAATTACCCTCATTTGGATCTCACACACTAGCATTATTTAAAAGCAAGATCAAAGAGGAGCAAATGTAATTCAATCACTGAATACTTTATGAAATGTTAAAAATAAAACCACATTTCCTTTAAGAGAGAAGTGTCCTCTCACGCAAGGAGGGTAGAACACTTCAGCTGTTACTCATAGTTCTAAGTGAATAGTTCTACCTAGTACTCAAATACCCGTATTTATCCTCATGGACAAGAAGCAAGGAAAGCTAAAATGTAGAAAACTTTGAATAATTCAGTTTCCTTCCCCAGGAACACTTGCCATTTAAAAAGAGGTGGCAAATATTACAGATTTAAATATAAAACATCTCCTCTATTCATCACTTTTTTTAACAGTTAATTTTTTATATTTATTTATTTTTTAATTAATCTTTGGGGGGGATGAGGTTTTTTAATTTATTTTTAATGGAGGTACTGGGGCTTGAACCCAGGACATCGTGCATGCTAGGCATGCACTCTACCACTGAGCTATACCCTCCCCCACTCATCACTTTTCTTCTATAGGGGTTCCATTTTTAATAAAAAATAATTTTCTATCCTGGGAAGTTTTCTCACATAAAACTGAACACCAGAGATTTCTCCAAGAACAAAAAATGATTTGACAAGATCCAGTTCAACATGTCATCTTGCTAGCAAGGTTTGATCCCGTAAGGCAATTTAGAACCTAAGAAATACACACACACACACACACACACACACAATTGACCCTTGAACGACTCAGGGGAGTTAGGAGCATAGCCTTCACACCATCAAAAATCCGAGTATAACTTTACAATTGCCCTCAGTAACCATGGTTCCTTCCCCATGAGCTCATTCAACCAACTACCATGTAGTACTATAGTAGGTATTTAGTGAAAACTCCATATATGAGTGGACCCATGCAGTTCAAACCCATGATGTTCAAGAGTCAACTGTATATACAGTCATTTCCAAGAGAATGGAGATGGTTGCATTTCTAAATAGCTGCACGTATTATATGGCTTTATACACCCATCCTGCACTGCAGCGTTTTTCATTTTGCATTCCATGCCCAGCCTGACAGGACAGGGACAGTGAGGGGTGCAGCAATGACTCACAATGCACACAAGCAAACCCACGTTCTCCCCTCAAAGCTGGCTCAGTGACTATCAAATCGAATGGAACTGCCTCACAAGTTACCAGTCCCTTGCTGCGAGATCCTCCTCGTTACAAATTTTAATATCGGATGCTCTTTTTTTCTACCCATCATCAAAGCACCTTGCAATGAATGTGGAATCGCGTGCAGGAAAGTTTTTCTTTAAAAGAACCAACTCCCACATCCAGACACGCAACAAATCCTCAGCTATAATTAGCCTTTGCATTTTCTCTGAAGTCTTAGAGAAATTCCTCTCTCTCTTGGAAGGAGATTAAGCTTGAAGAATTCGGTGCCAGCACTTATTTCTTCTTCTCTTGAAGGATGACTAGGAAGTAATAAGATCTTAAACCCAGGCCAGAATGCATATACTTTGCTACTTTCAGGCAGAGGGGTTCGGGGGAGAACACTTGTGAACACCAACATTACTACCACTATACAAAACAGGTTCCTAACGCTTCCGGAACTAACTTTGAGGGCAGTGGAACATACACACTTCTTTGAACATCTGCACAGACACCAAGTCCTTATGCTTTGAGAGGGAATTAGGATCAGCCAGAGGCCATTCAGAGGCAAGTCTGGCCATAGAGGGGTAATACTGCTCTGTATCCAAAATCAGGTGTCCCTATAAATTGATGAGACTAAGTCTTCTTGAAAGATCTAAAATAGCTTTGAAGGTAAACTTTTTTAAAATAATGTTTAGGAAAGGTAGAATAATTTAAGGCTTCTAAATAAAAATTTTTAGAAAAGCAATACTGACCCATGCTGTGATTTCTGACATTGAAAATAAGCCTCCTCTGTGGTAACCCCGTTCCTCCCCAGATAACAGTTCATGTATCCCAGGCTTAGCATCATGCCAAATACTAGCCCTGCAAACTGTCAATCCGCCCTTCGCAGAATTTCAATCCTCAGTTGGTTTAATCTGTGGATGAGAAACCCGCAGATATGGAAGGACAGCTGGATTCACTGAACTCTGCCATCTAATATGAGGGACCTGAGCACCTGCAGATTTTGATGCCTAAGGCAGCTGCTGGAACCAGTTCCCGGTGGATACAGTATAAGCCCCATTCCATGGGTGAAAAAGCCTGGAAGAAGGGAAACCACCTGATAAGCCAAGTGGCTGAGCCAGGTTCCAAAGGGGGCCTTTTGGATTCCAAAGTGTCTGCCCTTCGCTATGACACTCTTTTGCCTCACTTAACTACTTTGAGTCATTTTCTCATTTTTCGCAAAGAAAAAAAGATTACTCCTTTTCGGTACTAGAAGACCAAGGGAAAGAAAATGAAATGTTATCACAATAAATATGAAACAGGTAAGTGTTTTCTCTAAGCACAGAAGTTATCTGTAAATAAGGTTAAATTTCAGTCCTGACTAGGTGAGCCCTCACAGATCAAAAGATTACAGCCCCAAATTTCGGATTTAAGTTTCTAAATAACAATGATATTTGTGTCGTAGGAAAGCAACTCCATAATTTATATTTGCACGATGCTTTAAAAAAAATGGCATGGAGTGTAAATCTCTTTCATTCAAATTGATGAATGTGAAATGCCTCCTTCAGGGCAATACAGAAATAGCCCCCAAATGCGACAAAGATAACTCACCAGGAAAGGTAAACACGAACAGTAAAGAAACCAGTAAATGGTAAAAACAAAATAATTTGCTTAAACAAAGTTATTCTAAGTTTCCTGTCTAGACAATTTTAATTCCCACTTCAAGGTTACTTTCTCCTCCCAATAAACTTAGATGATAGTCCTTTACTTTCTATGACACCCACATAAACCTGATTTTAAAGTTAAGCAGTGGAGAGCAGCTATTTTATAATAAAGTAAGTGATCTATTTATAAATATGAAAAAAGATTTCAGGGTATTTCACCTCCATTCTTTGCTTCCACGGTTTGGGTAGACTGTTGTATTTTGAGGCATCTGTAGGGGGCGCTGAACACACATAGTGCCCACATCCCAAACTCCCAGTATTACATCAGTTAGACATTTAACTCCTTTCAGATCCGTCAGCCCCTCATCTTGAGTAAGTCATCCCCAAGGAAATGACTTCCCAAGATGATAATGCCATCAGAGTGAAGTTTCATTCCCCACCACCATAAGTGGGGGCATCTATCTGATCATCAGAGAAGGTTAAGTGATGAGTTCTTCCATGGTTTTGACTGGCCCGCTAAGAGTAGAGAAGACTGTGTGTACTGTGGCTGAATAGAGAATGAACAGAAAAAAATACACACATGCATAATTTTAAATTTCCAAGTTAGTGAAAGCTTTTTTTCCCAGAGTATTACATAAACTCTGAAGTACTGATTTAAAGAGTTGTAGTTAATACTCAAGGTGCCAAGCATTCTACACAGATAACATTGTAACTCTAAGGACATTTATAGGAGAGAGGTTTACTGTATCATGGAGACAAGCAAAGTGAAACCTAGTTAAATCTGGACATCCAGCTTTAAGAGGAAAAAATGTAACAAGACTCCTTAATTTAGAAAAATGATTTTGTGTTTCATTAATTTTCATGAGCAGCACGTATAATGTGTGACTTTATAAACGTGGTCACCAGGATTGTGATTCAAGCTGTAAGATGATGGAAGAATATGGTTTTTTAAGATGGCAGTTTTAAGGGTTCCCCATCTCAGTGGCGTCATTTTATCATATAATTCATAAAGGAAAGGCCAAAATGAAGCTGGAATTATCATCACAATAGTGGCCAATCCCACTATCAGATCTGGATTCCTGCCTTAATAAGAAAAAGTTATAATGGAAGAAGTCTACCAGCCATTTGTGGAATCATAAAATTGCCAACAGTCTGCCATTTTTGACTTACAAAAATGTCAGTTTTATATGGCTCACTAAATATAACTATTTTTGAAAGTTATTTCCCACAGGCTCACAAAGGAGTTTAAAGAACAAGCTGTATAATAATCTAACAGTGTTCTTTGGACATATGGGGCCTGTCAACTTATTTCAGAAGAAAATGTCTATTCACATAATATTCTAATAACTACCAGTGTTAACAATAATCAGGAGAGCATGCTTTTATTATGACTCTGCCCTTAGTGAGCTGGATTATTTCAACTTCTTTAGACCTCCGTGGGAATCAGATGATCATTGTCCATTCTAGTTTTGATCACAGAATTAAATGAATGATGTTATACTGTTAGCAATCATGATCTTTAATCAGGACAGGAAAACATATGGGTCACAGCTAATTCAGTAATTTGACCTAATAGAGCAATCAAGTTTATACCAACTTGCTTTTTTTGATAGAGTTAATTCTTTCCATCTCCATTCTTCTTACTCCCTCCCTCATAAAAGTTTTTATTATTGGCATGCCCTTAACTAAAGTGCTGGTAAACAGATAGCTAATTCATATTACCAGAACTGGTATCTATTTTACAGTCTGACTTTATAAATAAAAGAGCACAGATTAACACATGAGAATTTCACAATGCCAGGTTAGGTTTTTTA